ATAATAAGAATGTTTTTTTTTAAGGCTGGGTACACCTATGTTATTAATCACAATATATTTTAAACTCTTTAATAGTTCCAACCCACACATTGTTTTACCCATGACTGGACACTTGATTTCAATTAAATAAATTTCATTATCAGATATAAAAAACCCATCTGGACTAAATCCTAACCAAGGACAATGAATATTAACAACAATTCCTGATTTAATTACAGTTATATTTTTTAATTTTTCAAAAGCTTTAATGGCCAATGGTTCATTTTCAACCCCATAAAAAGTAACACTGTTACCAGAGAAATTGGAAAACAATAAGGATTTTAATTTAGAAGAAATATTTTTATTTTGAAGTGATCCACGAAAAAAAGTAAATAATTTATACGCTGATGTACCAGTGATTCTCAATTTACGAGATGTAAGCCATATTGGTCCCATTTGAGTTAATGTACTACTACACAGATTGATCGATTCTTGTTTATTAATTTCTACTTTTGTTTTATAAAAATGTATAGCATCTGAGGAACAATTATTCGTTAACTCGAGTATATTTTGTGCTTCATCTTTGATTACTGAAGAATGTGCAGTTACCAATTTTGTATAGAAGTTATTTTTATCAAAACTAGATGTACTTGTTGTAGTGTCTAGTGATCGAGTTCGAGGACTATGGCGACCTTTTAGGTGAATTGATATTGCCGAGTCTGGAAAACCTAGAACAATATTACCATGTGTTAAAATGTAACTAAGTATCCAATATTAACCAGCATAGCAAATGATTATTATTATATAATATAGATAATGCTTTATATCCATTTGAGTGTAGTATTAAAGCATAGCAATTTAACAGTACATAAATACCAAATAAGTTTAGACATTTATAGCCATTTATGATTACTATAGGAATCACAAAAAAAAAAACAAATAGACTATACATTTTTAGATAAAATATAAAATATTGCATAAAAATAAGCAAAATAAGCATAAGCCTTTAAGTGTATTATTAGTTAATTTTCATACTTTTTATACTTATACTTCATATTTTTTTTATTCCAATTATCTGTAGAATTAGAATTATTTATGTAGACCTTTATTGTAAATCCCTGCAGAATTTTAAAAGAAGTTTTACTTTTTTAAAACTAAATAAAAATGTATTATACAATAATAAAACTAATTTATATATTTGTAAAAAGTTATTGATGAATGACATAATATATACCTTGTAACAATGTTTGAAAAACTTCTTCTTGAAGGTCAGGTGGTAGCGAGTTTGGTAAACTTTGTTTATAAGAAGCAGTAGGACATTTAACATGACAAAATTCTCTTATAGGTATCGGTTTATACAAATGAATACCAGTATTTTTCATTTTGCCCCATTGTTGACGAAGATCGGTACAACTTAAATGTTGTATGTCCTCTTCTGAAGTTCTGTTAGAATATGGTATTAATAAAATGCTATTTTAATATTGTTAGATTCTTAATTTTATATATAATTCAATACATAAAAGTTGGTACTTACTTTTGAAGTTTGAGCAAAAAGCCTACAACATGTTTGCACTTGCCAGTGCCAGCTTTACAACTACATGAACCATTTATAGTAGTATTAAAGTCTAGATTTGTTTTTGATATAATAATTTCATGAGGATTCCCATTTAAGTTTGATGTTTGTAGGCATAATGCTATGAACACAACTTTATTTTCAGATTGTTCTTTAATGCCAAATTCAATTATATGATTGCATTTAAGAATTTCTGTACCTTCAATCAACGGTATTTTACTGTCACCAATATAATTAATTATATCTATAAGATCTATTATAGATATAAACATTTTAATAAGATTTGAATAATGAAAGTGAAACTGAATTGAATATTAATTGAATAAGACTACTATGCACTATACACTGGCACACTGCCTAGTGCCATGAGCATTGAGCATGTGCCTACATTTCATTATCAGCCGTGATAAGAACTAGCGCTACCTACAGTTACTTGGAATCACCAATATATGTAATATGTATTTTTCTCTTTCTTCCCCACAATAAATCTTTGGCTTTCATTAACTAATGTGTGTATCAAAGCCTACGAGTTCCACCGACTTGACTTTAAGGCCAACACGCGGTGCGGCTCGTAGTTCACGTGAAAAGTGTTCCCCTTTTTACGTGGGTGGTTTTCGTGGAACTAAAAAACCCGGAATCTCACAAGTTTATATTTGTAATTAAATATGAGCAATGACGGTAACTATTAATTACACTAATTAAAGTTTAAAAAAATATTTGTTCAATAATTTGCATGACTCATATCTATTTAGTATTTTTAGTTATTAATTATTACTAGGGCTCGGAAGTTGTAGGAATTGCATATTGTTCTGTATGATCTCAATTTACAGCTGACCTAGCTTGAAATATACAATTGCGAGTTAAAAAATTGAAAATTGAAAATGCATATTTTGCCAATTTATTTACCGCTACTCGGCCGATAACAAAAATTTGTCACAGGGTCTGTGACAATGTCGTCGACAAAATTTTAAAAACATACTCAAAAGTTTGTCGACGACAATGTCGAAAACATGTGTTTCCGACAAATGTTTCTTTGGTCTGGACGCGGCTTTAGCTAAAAAGTGCATATTTCATTGATTTTATACACATATTATGCATATTTCATATTTTTCTAAAAAAATTGATTTTTTTCTTTCTTAACCTGTATATTTCAACTAATATTGAATATAAAACTCAAAATGACCAACGAAGGTATATATTGTTATCGCCATAATCAATTTTATAAATATGCTCCGATGACTTCACCTGACGTAGAAAGAGCGTTTTCTCGATATAAAAATCTTCTATCGAATAATCGTCGTTTATTTGAAATAGAAAAACTTATATTGGGAAAATATTGGTGGTTCAATGCAATAACTTAACAGATATTAGAAAACTAGTATTTTCTTCGTAATTTAAAAAATACTGAAAACATATTATTAATTTTATTTTCAGCTCAATAAGATGTCAAAATGCCAAACAGTTATACTTTTTTTTTAGTTATAAATAATTTTTATGTATATGATTAATTTGTAAACAACATCTGATGTATTTAATTTTTGGAATTCAGAATAATATTTTTGCATATTTAACATTTTTAATGCATAGGGGAAACTTGGGTAAGACGAGGACTAGAGGTAAGATGGGACGTCGTTGTATCTCGGAAACTATTGAGTTTTGGGAAAAATATTTTTTACAAATAATGTGGTTTGTTGGTCACACTGTAATAATATCATTTGATATCAACAAAATATTGAAGTGGTACAGCGCACGTGCGTGTTCAATATAACGGCAATCGTCGATGTAATATTTTGCAGACATCAGACAGCGAATAAGTAAGTAAATAATTGTTTATTCTTAATTACTTCTATATAATTTTTAAGGGCTAATATTATAAGTATTCTATTAATGCAAATTTGGTAGAGTTCATTCTTATTGTAAGTTCAATAGAAACGTTTAGTTCAAATATGACTGTTTGAGGTAAGATGGGAAAAATGCAATGGGGCAAGATGAAGACATGTCCCATCTTACCTCAATTATTTTTTTTAAATATTATAATTTAATACTTTTAATTTAGTTATTCCATTCTATTTAATCTTGATGTTCTTGAACAAATATAAGTACTTTTCATTATATACCTAGGTAA